ACTAGTTTTAAGATTTAAGTTGATATAATTATTAATGGATGGGTAATATATTAAAATTTGGTACGTATACAAAATAAATGAAATTTTATTTATTCTGTGGTTTGTATGATAAAAACACAGCGACACATTGTACATAATATTATATACTTACTGCAAAAATAAAATATTTAAGAAATTTATATTATACAATTCATGTTAAAATTATATAATATTAAAAATGTTAAGGTAATATGGATCATTACCTTTTGTACGATGTTATCAGCAGAAGGAGGCAAATACAATTCGCAAACACAATTCAAGCGTAATTTCTTAATTACGGTATCTAAATATTTGATAGGAAATTGAGAAATTATATTCAACTATAATATAATATTATTATGTACGTCATATATATGTATATAACATATGGAGAACATATATTGCACAGCATATTTTTAATTGGGAAGTTGTGCATCGTTTAAACACCAGGTACTGTTAAAATGTCATTATACAAAAGTTTCGATAACTTCTCTAAATATAAAATATACATAATGCCAGCTTATAATTTCACTATCGCGATTTAACCTTGTGTGTTTCATTTGTTGATAATATACGATGAAGTGAAGTGGTTAATAAAATCACCTGCTCGGATGATATAATGTAAGTACCTATCTAACAATTTTCAAATCAATTTTTTATTTAGTAATATATTATAGGTAAATTTAAAACCTTTTCCCGTATAAAATAAAATATATTAGGTATAATTCACAATTATATACAAAATCCTTTCAGTAACTTAATAAGTGACTTTGGATATTTACTAATTATTCGTATTCTCCTAATATTTTATCTGTACTCGGCATTGTAACTATAATGCTTATATAAATAAATAAAATAATTTTATTATCATATTAAAATTATAGATCCTTGAAGATAAATTAGATTCTAATGATTCTATAGCTTAGCAATAAATTACAAACATATTTAAATTATTTACTTTGAATAAAGTTAAATTTTATTTCGTATTTGAAAAAAAATTGATTTTCACAAAATATGTCTAATGAGTAACTCAATCAATAAGATAGTTAAAAAAAAAAAAACAGATTCTAAGTTTTATCTATACATTATATTTAATTTTTAATGAATTAAAAATTACTTATTAAGTCTTTATTTAGATAAAACTCTCGAGTATATGAATTGATTTTTATATTTACTATTATGAAACTATTTTATTGTTATAGTCATACATTAATCATATTTTGAAAAAAATGTAGGTAGTCATAACCACTATATAGTTTATTATTTTACAAATTACAATTAAATATTTAATATCGGGTTTTAAGCTTTACAATTATTTATTATTTTGATTATTAAATTATAAAATAACTACTTCAAGATTTTTAATAATCAAAGTTACTTAAATAGTTTTATAGTTTGTAATAAAAAACAAAATATCAAATAATCATAAGTATTTATTTATTTTATATTTAGGCTAAGTATTTATGTAATTTAAAATATTTTATACTTTATGGTACCATTAATATTTAATTGTATAATATTCTAACAAAATGTTTAGGTACAATCAATTATTATTCTTATAGTTATAAATGTTACGTATACAATTATATCTTTAATTGCATTACATAACAAATTATTGATTTCTTACATTACACTGAAAACACAAATTAAGAAGAAGAATTTTATATTTTAATTTAAAATTATTTTATTAGTATATGGAACAGTTTTTAAGAATCGTAATATTTACCAACTCCCAATATTTTGTTAAAAATAGTGTTAAATACCTAATATACATTCGGACATTCCCTGTTTATCAATCCTGTCATCGCGTTATCTTAAGTATCATATACCTAGTTAATATCATCAGACATGTTTAATAAAAATAAAACATCGGATTGTGTCAATTAAATATGTTGAGAAAATTAAATTAAAAGTTTCAGTATATAAAACGAAAATAAATAAATACCTTTACAGTTTAGATAAGTACTTATTACCTCTGACATAATAAATCATTAACCCGTATAGACACAATCATGATTTTATAAAAATATGAAGTCAATAAAATAATTAGTTAGATTTTTCCTTTATTGACCATAATATTAAATGTTAACTACTGAAATATTATTAATAAGAAAAATAATATGTTATTTTAGTGATCTCAAATAAATATCTTCACTCATAATTTATATTTTTCTCTGTGGAATATATCCTAGTAGGTCTCCAAATATTATAAAAAAGTTCCAACTAATATCATATAATTGAGACATTAGGACATTACTTTTTTTGTTTACTAACAAATTTCATACGTAATTAAATTATGATTTAAATTAGTTAAGAATAATATGGATATTTTCTTACCATTATTATTTTTAATAATTTTCTAATTCGATGATGATAAAATTGTGTGTAGGTTAGCTAATTTTTAAAATTTTCAAAATATTCTTTTAGATTTAAGCAAAGCAATTAATGTATTGGTTTTAGAACGAATTGTTTTTTTTTTTAAATTTAATTTTTATGTGATGTCTTTAAGAACAGTATATTTTTAATTTTAAGTGATTTCTGGTAGCAAATTAGTTGGGTAAAATTCCCTGTACTTTACTAAATGATTAAAAATAAATTAGAGAAAAACGGTAAAATTGATTTTTTTTGTTTTGTACTCAAAATAAATATGTTTAGAAACTTGAAATTTTCACTAAATTTTTTAATTGCCTTTTTCTAGACATGATATAGTTTTCAAAATATTTTGGTATTTTTGGAGTTGTTTATAGACACTTAAAATTTTTAACTGATTTTAGATTTTTTTTGATTTTTGCTTTCCTAATTAAAAAAAAAAAAAAAAAAAAATTAAATGTAATATAATGTTCATAATAAGCTATTCTTATAGTGATTATATTTATCAAAATAAAATCTTGAAGTTAAAATGTTGACGAATATTTTCAAAATCAATAATATCTTGAATATTTTATATTTGTGAATTATTTTGTATGATTTATAACAATTTTAATGTTAATATTGAAGGTACGATAATTTAACACGAGATTTCTTACAAGTTTTTCTAACTGGAATAAAAAAAAAAATATTTAAATTACCTTAATGTAATGTTTTAAGTTACTATTTTGACGAAATTTTATATTGAAACGTAAATTTTTAACTTCTTCGTACAAGATATCTATTTTTATAATTCTGTAAACGTTAATCGTTGAAACTTGAAATATTTAACATAATTTTTTTCATATCATGAATTCATGACATTTTCAAAAATCTAGTCCTATGTTAGTTTTTAAGTCATTTATATGCGTTTTAATGCATTTTTATTTTTATGACACATGGTAAAAATACCTGGTGTATTGACATAATTAAATTAATAAATAAAAACAAAATATTTTAATAATATTTTGAAATTTTCATTTATTTTTTTATGTGTATTGATATTATTTTTTATTCTTACGCTTGTAAATTTAATAAAAGGTTTGAAAGTTCTTTCTAAATTTTCTTTACAAGTTACAGTAATTAAAAAATATCGAAATGACAATTTTACAATTTTGTTTTTTAGAGATTTAAAGCTTAGATATTGGCTATATTAGTTAAAATTTCAAAAATAATTTTTTGTTATTAAAATTCACACAATTTTAATAGTACTTGACTGCTTGAAAATGTAATATTAAGTTTCTAATGAGTAATAATGAATTTTAATTATATTTAATTTTAAATGTATTAAATACATATTATGCACAATATTTTTCGCAGGCGTTTGATGAAATTAGATTTTAAAATATAAATTACAACTTTTTTGTCAATCATTTTAGGTATAATTAGTTTAATATTTTGTTTTATTTAAAATAAATATTTTTCGTAGCAGTAATTTGAAACTTTTTGCACATAATCCCATTTCATATATTATTTATTTTTTTTATACATTTTATCATTTTGTTGTAATGATTTAGTATAATGTTTAAATTTAACTATTAAAACCACGATCCCATTTACACCGCTCCATTGAATGTCGGTACTAATTTATATAATCTATTTTCTGTTAAATAACAATTTTGTAATCATGTAAAATATAATTTGATGATTATATATTCAAATTTTTCAATACACCGTAAAGTGTTTTTTAATAGTAATAAAAAAAATATTTTTTAGCAATAAAATATATGAAAAAAAGTGTATTTTAAAAGATATGGTATTCAATGTTATGAAGTTTTTCATGTACAATAACTTATCATTTAGTTAAATACATGCATTACAGTCAATTACTTAATGAAGATGTACACAGTACACTCAAAAACTATTATAAAGTAGAGTGAGTTTCCAGATTTTCTTAAAGATTTTTTTTGTGAAATTGTTGCCAAGTACAAAAAAAAAAATATATATATATAATACCAATAATTAATCCATAATATGTTCATTGATATATCGGGCCACAATATACACCTCTACATTTTACAGGTATTATATAATTCTCTATAAAACATTTGTAAAAACATAATAATATTGTTATTCAATAACCGTGTCTTATAAAGCCCAGTGGCTATTGTGTTTATTATTAAAGTATATTGGATGTATAAAAAATAAACGTGGATATTATTGATATTACATGAGGAATATAATAGAGATTTTTGACGAATAATAATAATTATTTGATTTGTATTTTACGTTACAAATGTGTAAGTACTAAGTAATAATAATGACGATAGGTAAAAATAATAATTATTTATTAGGAAAAACGCAACAATTAGCTCGTTAACCATGATTATGGACGTCGCGTGTACGCGATAACGCGATAAAATATTAAATTATTAAATAATAACGTACAAGATGGGTTAAAACTTAAAAGCCCTACATAACGCATCACTGTGATAAACTTATAACACGGTGCTAAAAATAGAAAATCGTAAGTCGGGAATCCCAGGACGAGTGCGGTGGGACCGCGTCGCGTGTTCTCATTGGCTCGGGACGGCCGCCGCCGCCGGCACGTCGGACCACCGTCGGTCGGGCGCGGGACACAGCTTTTAGTCCAAACACTCCGGAGTCCGAAGTTTGCTGAAAATCCGTCTCTCAGAGATTATCGACCTTGTGCCACGGAGGTACACCACACGCTATACAGTTCGCCAGTCGTCAACGACACGGCATTCAACGATACCCGTCGGAGAAGGGCGAGATTTCTTTTCGTTCGGTATCTTTCCTCTCCTAACCGCGTCTTTCCGCCGCATGTAACGCAGCCGGGGCACCGTCAAACGGAGCACACATTTATCTGGTTACCTTTGGCCGGCACACCATGGGCAATTCCCGTAAGTATCCGTTTTAACATCTAACCACCACCCGCCCCACCATTCTTGCCACTCACGAAAAAGAGCGTGACCTGCCGTTTTATTAATTGTCGTCGTCGTCTAGCGTTAATAATAATAATACTTATTATTATAAAACGAAATTTGGTCCTAACGGAGACGGCTTTGCAAGCTCCGACGTCCGTCGTGCATGCATTACCCCGTAAGTAGTGTTCGAATGATTTTTAACATAATTATTTAGGAAATAATTTTTATCGGGCAACGCTGCTTGCCGATTTTGTAAATTGCGTAAAATTCGCATGTGACGCGTCTGCTGCAAATACATTTTGCAAGTATTACACGCTCCACGGTGTTATTTAGTTTATTGTATAATACTATATAGTATATTGTTATGGTTTTTACAATTTAATATTATCTTTATTATAATATGCTCTGCGGTTTTTAACATCGTTCTCACTGCTATGTACATCTATATAAATTTTAAGCTATAATACTCATCTTTTTCCAATCATTGTTTTCGGCGATTCATACTCGTGTTTCGTGTCGTATACACTTTATTGTCTTATTGAATTTTTTCGATTCTCGATATCGCCGATAGGGTTTTTTTATTTTATGTAGGTACTTATTAAAGTAATAACTATTCTAAGATTTTTGTTTTTCTATCTTTGTATCTCAATTATCGTACATTTTTGACCATCGTGTATATTAGGTGTACCTACCTATTGTTAATTGTTTTTTTTTCAATAGTTGATTATCTTACAGTATTATCCATATCGTATCTAATATATCTATTGACTAAATATGGGTTGTGGTATTTTATAAACATTAAATTTAGGTTAATATTTGAGAGAGGTACAATAGTTATTAATCATTTCTGTATTTTTTCTCATTTCAATATGATATAATTTTTATTTATGTAAAAAAAGCTTGTACAGTAAATAATATTTCATATGTAGTCACAAGCATATTATTTATAAAATACTTATACTTTGTCAAGAGAACACGCTGATTCTGCGCATTCTTATTAAAATTGGTTTCACTATGGTGTAAGGTAGAGAGGTGGTTCACACATAAACTGATTTTTGTTGGCCCGTGACATGTCTCTTGCTTGACATGGTAAGATAATTAACCTAATTGCAATTTTTTAAATTGTAATGCTTTTCACAATTAATCTTAAAAATTAAAATTTTGTAAAAAAAATCCATTGAGAAAACATATACAATGTTACTACTTACAAATATTATAATAGCTAAATTCTCTGTGTTAAGGATTATTACACTATTTAAATTGCTAAACACATACATTTCAGGTATATGGTATCCTTTAACCTCTTAAATATATTTATTTTTTTTTTTGTTTAAAATGATAAATGATGGTAATACAGTGGTATTTTCAAAACTTTTTATAAGATCGTTATTAAGTATGTAAAGTATTTAGTTAAATTTTAATCTCTTGTTTAATGAAATTATAGGTACAATGTTTTGAAATAATTTTGTTTAATTTTATTAGATCTACAACAATTTCCTAACGAAAGTTTAAAGTTAAGAAATCCACCTAGTCCAAAACTTGTAGTTTCTGGAAATATGAGTCAACAAAAAACTACAACTGGTTCTCCAAAGAGCCCTAAGTCTCCTGATGACAGTTCAAAATCTGATAATGCTTCATCAAGTATATCAAAATCTGGACGTTCTCCATCTTCAACTAAATCAAGCCCAGGAAGTATTAAATCACCTAGTCTTGCTGAACGACTTGCCCAATCAAATAAGGTCAAACTTAATCAATCATCAAAGAGCCCCGTATCTAAATCATCACCTACAAGTCCCACTGCTCTGGGTAAGTAATTAATTATTTTTAGGGTAGGGCACATTATACTAATCATCTTTTAAATTTTAATTTTAATTTGAAATATATGCTACAAGTTGGAACCCGATTGAGTATGATTGACCTTGTTCACAACACAATTAAAAACTGTTGCTATTAAACAATAGGAACCCAATAATCAACTCAATTGAGCATAAAAATAAGTGTGACGTTTGCCTCTTAGTACAGTAGAATATTAAATATAATACATTTGGTCATTAGTCATTAATATTTATAAATAAAAATCTTTTATTGGTTTTTATGTTTTTAGTCGCATATTACATATTAAAACAGAGTTTGACAGGTCAGTTAAGTATACCACTCATACCAAAAAAAAAAAAAAATCTAAATTTCTTTCCCCTAATACTTATTTTTAATTTTAAATAAGTATTTGAGAAGGTTTTCAACATTTTAAATTCGGAGTACTCTTGATGAGCTTTTATAGTGAAGTTAATTTTTTGATTTTTGGCAACACTAATTTTTTATAACTATTATTTGTTATAGATTGAATTTTCATATTGTTTTAGCCTAAGTTTCTTGTAACACTAATAACCAAGTGTCTTGTAAAATTGGGTGTTACACTTGTATATCTTCAATAAAATAATTTATAGATTCTGTATAGATACCTTAGATTTTAAGTTAGTTCATTAGCTCATATATTTGGGATAAATTAAGATCTGTCATTAATGTAATTATTAAAAATATAATTTGAAAATTCTGTGTAAGCAATTGCATGCATTGATAAGTTTGACAAATGCATTAGATGTTTCATAATTGGTAGAAAAATTAATCCAAAAAACATTTTTATCCAATTTCCTAGAACCTTATCTTTTTTTTACATGTTAATATCTTAGCACAAGTTCACTGATTAAACTATTTTATTAGTTAAATAAATATAACTTTAAATATAACTATAGTCCAGCTCAAAAAAAGTGGCGGCTGACCGTCACGATCCAAACGGACTATTTGTTATAGTGGTTATCAAACAATAATATAGCGTCAATAGTTCGTCCTGTGCCACTGCTGTTCCGAATCGCAAGAATAAAATGAGAACCACTGTTTACACTGTGGGTGAGGTTCAGGGTTAGCGGCGGTCAGCCGCCACTTTTTGTTGTGAGCCGGACTATAAGTAAAACTAAACCATACCAAATCTATATACACACATTCTAACTTCTTAATTAAGTTTTCTCTATCCAATATAATTTTTCACATATACTTAATCTGCTACCTAGTAAATAAAAAAAAATTAATATAGTGCATTATTTTTTTCTTAAAATTTTATTTGTTGTAATATTTGCCATTTTCACTTCTTTGGATTTTAAATTATATATTTGTATGTTTTTTTTAGCTTCTCCTAAAACTGAAGTAACCAAAGAATCTTATGACAATAAATCTGATGGATCAGAAAAAAGCAAAGTTTATAATGGTTCTGTTGATATTAAAATGGAAAATACTAAACTTTCCAATGAAAATCATTCAGCTATAGTAGAAAATGGAACAAGTGATTCAAATGAAGAGATTAAACAAGATGTTAGTGTAGAGTCAAATGAGATAGAAATAAAAGATACTGAATTGAATGAAGTAAAAGAGAATGAAACGGAGAAATGTAATTCAAATGAAACAGAAAAATGTAATTCAAATGGTCATGCATTAGATTTAGGCTTAGAAAACAAACCAGTTCGCATTGACGATAGTATCATATTGGAACAGACATCCAAGAAAGATATTCGTCAAAAAGTTTGGGAATTTATGGAAGAAAACTTGTTAGTTATATTTCCAAAACCATGCTTTAATCGTATACCAAATTTCAAAGGATGTAATAATGTATCACTATTGTTAGAGAAGTTGGATGAATTTAAAAAAGCAAAGACTGTTCAAGTTACTCCTGATAAAGCTCAAGAAACAGCTCGTTTTCTGACATTAAATGTAAGTTATTACTGTCTTTTCAGATTAATTTTCATGCATGGTCAAACATAGTATTAAAGATTAATTGACTTTAGCTAAAAATATTTATTTCAAATTTGTATATAATAAAAAAAATTAAACAAATAGATGAAATTGTGTAGCTTTTATATTACTAGTTTTTACCTACAGGTAAATAATACATCTTGATATATTTATATTTTAGTGGGGTAAAAGATTATTAGTTCCATTGCTTCGATTAAAGGAAGGACTCTTGCAAAATGTGTCTTTGCCGTTTGCTGAACCATCTGCAAAAATGCTAAGATCAGCTAGTACTCAAAAAGGACTTCGTAAATGGGGAAACAAATTAATAACTTTGGATCAAAATAATGACATTCATATAGATATGATTATTCTGGGATCTGTTGCTGTTGATAAAAAAGGTAATATTATAATTTATATATTTTGTTTTTAATCATCATTATTGAAAACTAAATTTTATCATATTAGGTCGCAGAATTGGTATTGGAAATGGATTTTGTGATTTAGAATTTGTCATCTTGAGTTCTATGAATATGGTGACTGATAATACTGTGGTAGTTACTATTGTACATGATGTACAGGTATGTAATACATTATTATAGGAATAATAATTAACATTAGGGCAAACATTAAGCAACATATAGCAATAGACGTTTCAATGAATTTTAAGTTGACAGCTATCATAACTATTATTATTTTTAATAATAGTGGTAAGGCATTATGCCTTAGGCTGCTATAAATTGTATATTTTATTATTATTTAGTCTAACTAGAATAGTTTTGTTAATACTATTATGTAGTATAACTTGATAAAGAAAAACATTTTTATCATAGTAGTAGTCTTAAATTTCCATTATTAATCTTAAGTTCTTTTTAAAAAAAATTGAACAATTTTTGACCAAAGTAAATCAAATTTTATTCTTTGTTTAAGGTATTTGACACTCTTCCAAATGACATTTTCAAACCTTATGATGTACCTGTAGACATAATTATTACATCAAATGAAATTATTAGAGTGGAGAATCGTCTAGATCGTCCTAAAGATGTGTTTTGGAATTACATTTCTAAACGAAGGCTATTAGAAATGCCACCATTGCAATTATTACGTACTAAACAAGAAAAAGATGCTGACATTGATTGTACTCTCAAAGAAGTGGATAGTGAACCTGAAGAAATTCCTCCTTCACCAAGAACCTATAAAAAATCCAAAGGGTAAAATTTTATTTTTAAAAAGGACCCATTTGAATCTTGGTCACAGGCATACTTCTTTCCTTGAGCAAGTGACTGTTACACCCAATATTCTGAAAGGAGCCTTCTTTTTTTCATCCTAATGAATATAGGGTCAGCTCTCTGTCATTTTAAATTGAAAATTTTGTTAATGATAAAGTTTTTCCTAAATTCTTCATAGGACTTTAGAGTTCTGTGAAATATCTGTTAGGAAACACATAATCTAAAGAGTGAGGTACCAGTATACCACCATCCCTTATGCAGAAGATAATGGGAGATTTGTGCACAATAATAATCTTCTATAGTACATGGTAGTTAAGAAAAAATGAAAACTTTTGCTGCTCTAAAATCAATCTTTTTACAGTTTTTATTATGCTAAAAATAAACTATTTGTGATGTATGATTAATTTATTTTCAACACTGATTTTTTTGTTAACAGATATCGCCAAAAGCGTTACTCCACTAGATCTGAAACTAATGACTCAGTGTTTAATGAAGTGTCAAAACATCGGTCTTCTTCTAAGTCTTCAACAGCACCCGTTTCTAAAAATACAAATACAAAAATCAAACATAAACGTGCTAAATCTACTTCCAGCCAAAAACAACGCAGTAGTTCAATTGACAAACGCAGTAATCAAAATGATAAAAAAGAACCTCGTTTATCTTCAAAAAAACCTAATAAACGTCGTACTAAATCAGAGTCAGCTAAAACTGTAACATCACCAGTAACATTAACCGAGTCTAAAAGTTTTAATAATATACAAGCTGATTCGCCATCTAATGATACTCCTAAAAATAAACGACGACTTCGTCCAAAGCAGTCACGCAAACGTATTCATTCAGACGACATTGATAAACAATCCATTAATCAATCTAATAGCAATAGTAAATATAACTCTCGTAGTAATTCTCGTGCTACTAGACGTGATTATATTGATCGTCAAGATGTTGGTCGCGAGATGTCTGTTGGACGTAGGTCTCAAAGAGATTATTTACATAGTCCAAAAAAATACTATCCACAAAATTATCGTCAAAACAGCTATTCTCAAGAACGATCATTTTATCATGGTAGCATAAGATCAAATAGCAGAACGCAATATCGTGACTCCAGTAGGTCAGCTGTAATGCAACAAAACAGGTATTCAAATGGTCCAACTATCCGTCCGACTAGATATTTCAATGGTTCTATGGTACGCCATAACAGCTTTAACGGACCTGATTCACGCCATAATAATGGAATCAATCATCATGGTATTCGTCATAACAGTTACTCTAATGACCCATTGTCTCGTCAAAATAGTTTCTATGATGGAGTAATTTCTCGCCGTAATAGCTTTTCTAAGGGTTCTGCAATTCGTCAAGATAATAATTACACCAGCTCTAGAATTTTCCGTCCACCACAATATCGTAATAGGATGGCATCACAAACTGATGAGGTAAAGCATCCATATATTTTATAATTGATTTTAATTAATTTTTTTATAAATGTTATCAGAGAGACTATGTACAGGAATCAAGACCTCATTTCAACAATAACAACAACAATAATAACCGCATTGGATACTTCAACTCAAACGAGAAACCAAATTACTCAAGATCTTCTAGTGGTGATGAGTTTGTTCTTAAAGTTGGAAATATAGCAAACAATGTTAGAGTGCGTGATTTAAAAGCTGCTTTAATGGAACGTGGAGTTAAACCACTGCATGTATAACAATTTGATTATATTATTTTAAAGGTATAAAATAAAATTATACCATTTTTTAGGCATATAACTTGGAGAGGTCCTAGAGGTTTTGCATATTTACGTTACAGTAATTCGTCTGATTTGGATAAAGATAACGTCATGGGATCATTACAAAATGTGCGTATTAAGCCAAATGGCGTTGAAACTGCTCAAACTCAGACACTTATTGTTACTGAATGCCAATTTTCTTAGGTACAATTTTGACTTTCCATTAATTAATTTACTTTTTTTAAAAAAAAAAAAAAAAACAACAAAACTATTTCATTCTTATTTTAAATCTTTAAACAACTGAAAATCTATTTTGTAAATGGTATAACGATAACTTTTAACTTCCATTTTCTCTTTATTTTATTCTTTTTATTTTGTGCTTTAATATTTATATATTTACTAGTTAAAATTGTATAGAAAGTTTTATCAAAGCGTTTTTGATGTTTACCTTTCCTTGAAAAATTTAAGCACTATTGTTCAAATTTAATATTTAGTTTGATTAATTAGTTTTTGAAATTATATTGACCTTAACTTCCATAAGTATGTTCATATATTTAGAGCAACTTGTTTGTTTTTATCGTAAACTTATTAGGGTAACTAAAAAAAAACCTTATTTAGTATTATTAAATTACATTAATCATTATTATGTGGGTTAAGTTCAATTAATTTGTAAAAACATTGAAAATTCAACTTTTAGCAATGTTTTATTTAATCTAATAATTAATATTAGTCTTTGTAAATTGGGCCATGTTTAAAATCCATTTACAATTGACATACTGAGAAAGTGTCAAATTTATAACAATTAAATGTGTTACAAATATTTAAAAGTTGATGTTTATTTAAAAATAAAACAATTCAAATAATTTTGATTTTATTTATTTTGTATTATATACTTTCAAAAAAAAATTACTTTTTTTTTATACAACCTAAATATTCCAATACTTAAAATTAACCCAACCACGAAGATAATAAAAATAAGTAATGTAATGTTAAATGTTGTATTATCCGTGTGTGTGGACTGACTGTATTGTAGAGTCACTAATTCCCAAACATTTTCTTCTGTATATTCTGTGCTAGATATTTTCTCTTGAACATTCATAGTATGATTTTGATTAAAGGCAGTCAACTCTACCTATATTGATAGAAAATTACACATGGGTTACTAAATGTAATTTATCTTGATTATTGGATAATAAATTTATTGTAAATAATTATTTTATAGTGTATTGATTAATTCACAATTAATTACATTAAATATATGGAAATGGAATAAGTAATGTTTGAACACTAGAGATGCTAAGTACTAATAAATTAATTTAAAATATTCTCTTTGAATATTACTATAATATAAAGGTGTTTCATAAAATGTGTAATTTTTGAACATGGAATAAATCAGCCAAAATCATATATAGATTCAAACTTTTTATTTTATTACTCATAAATACATTTTGATTTAATGTTTAAAAATTATATCCATCTCAATTGTTTCTACAGACTATCGTTTTTAGAACTCATTCATACTTGTGCACTACCACAATGTTTGGCTGTATACAAATTTTATGATTTTGATATAGAATTTTTTGTGTTTCGGCAATTAGTTTGTTCAAATTTCTATACTAACCTCAGAATTTTTGATGCAGTAGGAGCTTCACATGTCCAAAAGTCGTGCAAAGTTTACCAACAGTCACAGCTAGCACTCATCGTTTTTGTAATGGTTTATTTTTCAGTATGAGTATACACTGATGGTTACTGAATTGCTCCATGACAATTATAAGTTCAATTAAAAAACGAATTATCTTTCAATTGGAGTGATAATGGATGACAAAAATAATTAAAATGTGGTTAATAACCTTCAAACAATAAAAACTTTTGTTTTTCAAAAATTGCGCACTTAATGAAACACCCTTTATATTAAACATTCAGAATAGATTTTTTTTTTATTCAGATTTTTGCATATTTATTTACATGTACCAGATCTTATTAAGAACTGAGTATTGAATAATACACAATAAAAGTGTTAATTTTCTGTCTAATATCCTTAATCTTATAATTTATAATCATTTTATTTTACATACAAGTTTGAAACTGCACCAATCCAAATTAAAACCATTAGCTCGAAAATATCGTTCAACACTTGTTCTTTTAAAATCCTTTGGACATTTATTCATTTTTTGTAACGGACTAATTTCTTTTTCAAGATCATATAATGTTGTTGAAAAATTTGATGAGCTTCCTAAATTGACAACAACACTGGTGGACATATACATTATTAAAGTATCTTATATATATAAAAATTTAGAACATAATGAAATTATTTAAAATTATAAATTAGTGGTATATTTACCTACCCCTCTGTATCATTTGGGTCTAATGGTAGTCGTTGCCCTAAATCACTGGCAGATGCTAGAAATGTAACATACAAATTTTGTTTACTATCCAACCATAAATTTTGTCTAAATATATCTAGTAAGTATGGTATGCGTTCTTCATGAAACATATCTTCCACATTCAAATTGTTAATCTTAAATCTAACTTCATTTGTTGCATATTCTGCAAAAAATATATATATTTATGTTACATTAAAAATTTAATTATTGTTATGTGATTACTGATTACTTGCACAATTATTAATATTTACCAGATTTTTTAAAAATGTTTAATTGGACAACTTGTGTCTCAACCTGGTATGTTTTTTTGTTTACTCCAACAATATCCAACTAAAAAAAAAAAAATACCAATATAATATGAAGTAGATACCTATTGTTATTATAAAATCATATGAAGAGTTAATTTGAGAATAAGAAAACTGAAAGAAATTAATAATTGATAGAATTTATGAGTGATTATAAATATATGATGGGTATAGTTAGGGTAATTCTGCTTATACTATATTTTTAATTTAATTAGAGTAACTTATTTTACTCATTTAATTAGTATTATTTTACTCATTTAAACTATAAAATATGCTTATTAGGAACTATTATTTAATTTTTCGTTGGGTAATTATATTTTAGGTATAAATCAACATGTTAAAAAAAATAATTTTACATGGTTACATCAAATTATAAAAATTTAGTATTTGGCATTTAAAAATCAAAAGCTAATAGTAGTTTTTGTAACATACAATGGTGAAAAAAAATAATTGTAAAATGTTAAAATTGCAAGAGTTACTATTTTAGTACATTTTTCGAAATTTTACACATTCCCGGTTTCTCTACTAAAATAATCACCCTATATGTGTTCTAATTTACAATATATATGAATTTAAATATTTATTTTTATTTTTACTAGGATTTGTCGTTTCAACAAGTTTGCGGGCGGTGTTCCATATAAGTATCCATGTCTATTTTTACTGTTAAATTTGTAATGTATCCAATGTAGCAAGTCTGGGTAATTTTGTAAAGATGGTGTGAACACAAACTTAGTATCTGCACCTAAATTGTTTGAAAATTAAGTGTAAAACCGTCTGAAAGAGAAGACTGATACCTATTTCAAATTATCTGAATTAAGAAGACGTGATACCCGCATGTGTTCTCCGTCTTACTAGTGGATTTTAAAATACTTATTACTCGCTTCAAAATTAAAATATAGTAAAAACCCCATGAGGTCGTCTAAATAATATTTTACCTTTAAATTTTATAAGAGGTCAATTTACTCCAATTTTTAAACCAATAGAGCAAAACGTGATCTGCTGAGCGTAAAATTTATCATGTTACGATTTGTAAGACGGAAACATGCGGATATCACGTCCTCTTAAATACCCAAATACCGTTTGTCCAGTTAAAATGTTCCGGGCGTATTTCGTAGTAAAACATTTCTGTTTCGTTCACATCTTTAGTGATTGCCTTCGATTCAACGTGACTCAATGCAGGGATAATGCACATGCATGCGGCTTTAAGGAAAACCGCAGTGGTGAAATGCATTGTGCTTTACCAAGGATCGGCAATTTAAAAAAAATTGAATTAGAATAATAATAACGACGCCTGAATTTTACTCGGACTTTTAACGCCGGTGTGTACAATTAGTCACCTACCTCCGACGGCGCTTAGCGATCAGACGATTCGCGGATAACACGCTGTAGGTTGTCACACTTTTCGAATTTTTACGTTCATAGATTTACGGTGAAATGTAATGGCAATTTATTATCGTTGAAAATTTTACTTGAAGCGAAAACGAAAAACGATCGTTTAACGAGAGTGGAGGTAGAGGAACATTAACGAGTTTAGTCTACGGTTGTTTGATCAGCAGGTCCGAGTGTGTAGTGGGGACCGGTGGCATTCGTGAGTTTCCGCCAAATATTTGTTTTGCTAGTGGCCGTATTCCAAATCGTCGTTTTTTTACATTCGTTTTCGAGTTCCACAAATACGCACATCGTCCTGATATTATTGTTATTATAGGTACGCACGCGCTGGTAGCCTGCTGGCAGGCGCATCGTTGTGCGTTATTATAAACGATAATAATAATACGCGTGTGTCATGAGACACATTGACGTCAATGTGTGTGGGCGTGTCGTTTAAAAAGCACCTTATCAATAATAGTATTAAATAATACTTTATTATAATAATAATAAAACGACGACTGTGAATAATATATTAATAATAATAATAATAATGATTTAATTATTATTTATTATGGTATAGGTAGCTGCGACATCGGACTCATTATTTTCAAGTGTTTAAACGGCGTGCGCGAGCGTGTGTATTACGACTAAATAATCGCTATTACAATGGGTGCATATTATTATGGTAGTGATATTGTACGGCCCCGCGCGAGTATGTGCACCGGACGCAGAGTCGTTTTTCCGGTCAAACGCAGTCGCTCCGTCGTCGGAAACGGTCTTCCGGTACGCGAATGATCATCTAGCTGACGTGCCGTAAAAATACAAATCGTGGTTCTCACTTTCTCATCTATTCCAGTCCAATATGGCTTGCGACTCTTCCACTCGCGTTCTGTTGGTCACGGCGAACATTGGGTCGATATTTGAAAATGTGAGTTATACATACTATATAATATTATTAATATTATTGGCTGCCCAAAAGTATTACAATTAATATCTAATAATTCGCACTGCGGCCTCTCTCACAACATTTTTTAAAATATATTAATTAAGTGATATTTTGATCAGTATCATGAAACAGACATACTAAACTAACTGAATTGAATAATTTACACATCTATTGCTGTTTAGTATATATTTGTAATTTGTTACTTTGTTAGTAAGTTATTTTTTTGTAGGAATAAAGAATTAATAGTGTTCATTATCATTCTTTATTAATATCAAATACTTACTCGTGTATACCACTAACGGTTAAGTTATATGGTCCATAATTATTTTCTTACATTGATTTCGTTAAATAGTATTATAATTGTTAACTATATTTGTTTACATTAACATAATATAATGTAAGTATCTTATGATTATTTAATTTATTAAGTACTCACATTATTTGAGGCATAATTTGATACAGCAAGTGTATCAATAAACACAATTATGTTTTAATAAATAATAATTAAATATTAACTATAAACTAAAATATTTAAAAAAATTATTACATTTAATATCTATGATTTTAATGTTCAAAAAGTTGAAAATTATAATTTTAAATTGTTATCAAATTGAATTGTTATCAATTTTGATAAGAACCTGAATTAGATTTCTCTTGCTAAAATAGTGCTTATATATATAATATATATATGCATTGTGTTTTATACAATACAGAAGTAATATTGTTTCAATATTGTATATTTATATGTATACATTTCTATTCTGAATTAATTGATCATATTTTTTTATGGTTAGATTATAATTAATGATTTTTTGAAATATTTTTACTACTAATGCAAATAATATGTTATGTTTCATAATTATTCATATCGTTTAGACCAGTCATTTCAGAAACCTAATTTCATTAAAAGTAATGAGTGACAAACTGTCATACAATGTTTTTATAAAAAAACAATTTTTATATAATTTATTTTAATTTAAATTTAAATTAGCAATAAGATAATGGAGTTATCTTAAGCCTATAGTATAGCTATATACCTGATTAAAATAGTTATAGCAATAGTTAGCAGTTATTTAAATTAATAATAAATATTTTTAGTTATTAAATATTAAAGTATATATCATATATTTAGACATTTAGTTAAAAATTGTACTCGAATATACTATTGCACAATTTAGTATAAATTCAAAGTCAACCTTTGACCGTATAAATAAAATAGGTAACAAATATAAATATATTTAATTAAAGTATTATATGATGTAGAGTATTTACAATATGTAATATGATATAGGTATATTAAATATTATATATATTTGTTAATTAATGCACCAATTTATGTACATATTTGTAGATATTTATAAATAAATAATTATATTTTTCATGTTATACATTACGCACAGTTATATAAAAGAAAATAATAAATTTGTATAGTATTGTTTAAAATATTTGAAAATTTTTGAAAATTTCAATTGCCAATACTTATAAATTTTCTATTTTTATTGGTATATATATATTTTATATCTGGTTTCAAGTCTGTTAATTTAATAACTATAGCTTTATATAACAGTACAACACAATAAAGCCCAGGCACCACCCTATTCTACCTTAAGATATCTATGCCACTAAAGCTTACACTAAATTATATCTTTTATGCCTAGTCATTATTTTTTAAATTCATTTTACAGTGAATAATAATTATTTTGTATCGCGGAGTTCTATTGAAATTTTAAAAATGATTTTAAGTAATTAATTTTAATATGTTTTAAGAATATTCATTTAAATAAATGTAGAGATAAATTTATTATATTTTATTTTATTTTATAATAAGTTGGAAACTTCATAGTTAAATAATACATTGAAATCAAGTGTTAAGAAAATTTTTTTTGAATTTTATAGAGAAATTTAATTAGAAATCTACTTCTAGAGTTTTGTGTAGTTGACAATTATTTTTAATTTTTAAATAAGCTGCATTTTCATTAGATAAATTATTCCCATTATTGAATTATTAATTTTATTATGTTTATAACTAAAGATTATTATTGTTTTATAATATTCTGAATTAACTGCTGTAATCATTAATCTATAATTAAAATAGATAATAGATATTGAAATACTTATTAAAGATACAAAGCTTAAATAATAGGTAGAATGATATTTATTTATTTTTTCAAATTTAATATTATGGGCTTAGGTTAAAATATACTTTAAATAAAATATGTTTTATAATTTTAATCTGCTCAAACTATTTTGGCATGTTATATATAAATTTATTAATAATATATGTTATACTTATTATAAAAAAAAAAAAAAAGGTAAAATATGATTGTGTGGTATAATTATCAATAAATTATATTTTTTTTTAAACATACAAAAAAAAATGTTAGTAATTTTACTTTTTACTGCACCTGTTTTGATTTGTTTTGCATACTTTGCTATATAAAATAACATTTTATTTTCATGAATATCTGTTTTTTACAATGTACATGTCATGGAATAAAAATTAAATATTAATCTAGTTGGGTACTTAAATTTAAATTCTTAACATAAATTTAATCGATTGTTGTTTTAATAAATATTATATAATATTAATTAATTTTGTATTTTAAGTTTCTTAAGAAGAATTTAATTATAAAATTATCTTTAGATTATTAATTATTATTAATGTATAGAAGTATTTTGTAATTAAAAAAAAAAAAAAACAAAAAAACAATATTATAAATTATAATAATAATTTATATGATAGTGCTGAAGAATATTTTATATTATGATTATTGGCTAATAAGAGTATATTATATTATTATGTGTTTATTTATGATCAAACAGTATATTTATGGTGACCAGATGTACTTATTTTATAAGGACAGTACTTGTTTTTGGATATTATGTTTTACTATCCTAATAAAATGGATAAAATGGCTCAAATACATAAAACTGTATTTATTTTAAATTATTTAATGATTACAAATAGAATAATGTTTAAAGATTTTGTAATTCATAATTATTTTATCAAGCAATTTTAAAGATTGAAGGTAAAAAATATGTGTTACTTAAGCTTGCAAAGTTAAGAGTAAATTTATTAAAGCATCAAATTTGAAGTACTAATGTAGATTACTATGATCAATTTTTATTGAAGCTAAGAAGTTTTGTTTTAGTTGAATTGATTATTTAAACAAATGGTCTATAAATATGAATGCTTTAAAGTTATTTTCATGGATTTGTTTACGCAATCAAACTACTTGGGATAAAATAACAACTTTTTTTGAATTGTTTAAGACTTCTTTAGGTAAAATTATAAATAAAGATCTGCCATTTGATGAAACTGACCTGTTTAAGTTGTATTTAACTAAAGCAAACATTTTTGATTAGAACAAACATAATTAATTGACGTAGGTTGTTGGCTTGAATTTCTTATTTTATGAAGGGAAAAAGCCTTCCAGTAAGAAGTGCACCAATTGAAAGACTTTTCATAAATCAACAAGTTTTCTGAAAAAATACAACTAGAAATGTCTTCATTGAAATCCTCGTTAAAACCATTAATTTATGTTTATAAAAATGTTAATGAAACACCTCACAATATATTTATTTAATATGTTAAAGAACAATCAAAATTTACTTAAAGAAATGCATAGGTCTCAAAAATATTTAAAATATTGATGGTTTTTGTTTTTTTAAGTAAATTTCTTAAATGTATTCTAGTTTGTTTCTAATTAAATGTTTAGCCTAAAAAATAGTAATATGTCAAAACTTATTGATTTTTTTTTATATTAAAAATTAATTATTGGTTGAATTTTGTTTGTCATGATAGTTGATTATTAATACAATTAAAAATCTGTGATATTCAAATGTTGTTTAATTTGTTATTAAATTGTATTTGTTTATAAATAACATGTACTTATTTTTTAAATCTGGTTACCTCTATAGTGTACCTATATATTATATAGTATTCTTTTTGCAATAAACACTCTTTATTATTTAAAAAAGTATACATATTCCAAAAAATGTTTTTTTTTTATTTATATAATTTGATGCCCTTACAAAACAATATGATTGAAAAATAATTATTTTTTCACTATTTTTAAATGTTTTATATTTTTTAAATGAAAACATGCATTTTTAATTCTATATTCCAAGCAGAATATTTATCTGAGAATTATAATATATAAAATCAAATAAAATTTTTTTTCAATTTATGTATAATCACGGTTTTTTTGAAAGTAAAAATCCTTAAAAACTTATAATTTTTTTAATAAACTGACTTTTCAAAAAATACAAAATAAAATTATGTAGTTACACAAAATATATTAATTTTGAAAATATCTGAATGAAAATTTGATATTGGAAATTCACACGTAAACTAACTAATTCTCATCTAACAGTTTTTCTTTTTTTCTTTCAACTAAAAAAAATAAATATTTATCATAAAAATTTGAAAAATTCCGCATTATTTGCTTAAATTGTTATTTTGAAAATTAAAATGAAAGTTAGTTTTAAGTTAAAATTTTGATAAAAGCGTTAAAATTTGGAAATAATTTTATAGTTCAAAATGTATCCAATTTTTAATTTAAAGATTACTCTAAAGAGTTTCGTAGTTTTTTTTTTTTTTAACTTGGTATATTTTGGATTGTAAAATCGATTATAGTTTAAAATACTTTTATTTCTACATCAAATTGAAAACATTTTAGAAAATAATATATAGGTATGATATTTTTAATAATATTAATATTTAAAGTTTTGAATTAAATATCGAAATAGAATACTAATTAAATTGAAAGTTATTCATATCTTGGTTTGCTTACAAAGTTCAATTTAGCAACTGAAAAAAATAATTCTATTACGTCTATTACGAATATTAAGTAAAATATAAATGTTTACTATTTAGTTGTTTATTTATATATTATAAGTTAGCATATATACTCGTATAATTATTATTCAGATTTTGTTATAAGTTATAATACTGTTACATAACATATTTGACACATGACACTCATCCTTTAAGTTATGCGTTTACTTAGGGTTTCGTTTGGTATGGTCAAAACTATGTCTGTATAACTTCTTAACTTTAAAATAATCATATAAAAACTTATAAGTTACGATTTTTTTAAAATAATTTTGAATTGTTTATTCGAGTTGTATCCCTAAAAATAATTTCAATTAATCAATTTCATTTCAAAAATAATTTTTTATTATTCATAAAGTTGTAATTTTTAATTATTACACATCATTATTTTATATTATTTATACTTATAGTAATATATAGTAGTGTGATGGCTAAAAATTATGGGACTTTGTCTATAGAAGTTATTGATAATATGTAATGCATTTCTGTTTATGTACAAAACGTGTTTAGTATGACGTTGATCACCTAGTTTTTAAAAGTTGTTTATGATCACCTTGATTAAAGTATGTTATGAAAATAATTTATTGATAATTATAACTTATTAATTAAGATGGTAGTATAATAGGTGTGATATGTGTTATGTGTGTGATGAAATTTCTTTTGTTGATATTAGTGTGGTATGTTATGTAAAAATGAGTAAAACTTGAATTAAAAATTTTATTAGTAATATTTGTTACCTAATATTCTGAATGTTTTTAATTATCTAGACTCTTAAAAAAAATTAAATTAATATAAGAATTTTAATTTAAATGTTTTAATTTTATATTTTAAAAACGGAAAAATAAATAACCACTCTGTTATACATTATGAAACAACTGTATCTCGTCATTAAGTAGGTTACTTTATTGGATGTGTTAAATTTGAATTTAATGATAAAAAACTTCTAACCAAAAATACAATAATCGATTCTGAGCAGTGAGCAGCAGAGACGGTCTGTTAGCCTATTATTATATAAATATACTGCTATTATTATTATACATTTATAGTAATACTTTATAAGCTACATATTACATTTTCAAGGTTATTAACAAAGTAAACATTTTTTGTCGATATATATAGGAAAAACTAAAATAATCGAGTGTAAAATGTCATTTAGCTTAAAAAACGTAGAAGTATTTTGAAAATTTTGTCATGCATAGAAAATGCTGATATAAACATCGGCTGAAAATTTCAAATAAATTAAGTTATTTGTTTTTGATTTGCAACAAAAAAACGAAATCGATAGTGTTGAACAGATTTCATGTAAAAATTCCAGTTTTTTATTATATTGAAAAATACTAAGAATTTTCATTTTTAATCCTTTCAAAGTGCCAACAAGATCTAATTTTATATTTGAAACTGATCCCAAAATTTAGGATTAAAGAATTTTTCCACCATATGAAGTGCTTTCAGACACAAAAATTTAATAAAATTGTAAAAATTAAAAATTCTTCATCTCTCCGTTTAGAATCTAAAATAAGTAACGTTTTAATGAAATGTCAGATTTAGAAAAGAATTTTAAACAAAAATTACACTTCATGTTTAAATTATTAAATTATTAAGAATTTAATATTTAATTAAAACAATTTATATTAAAATTTGGTATTTTTATGCTATGTAAAATATTCTTAAAACAAATTTTTGTTTTAATTATAAACTCTTATGTGCTTGAAAATAAATCATTAAATTCATAATATTAAGTCTAAACATAAGTTACAATTCTCTAAATTTTAATTTTGTCAGTGAAAAATTATCGTTTTCTGCTCGAGATATCATAATTTAATTTAACTCTTGACGTATTCTTTTCTAAAATTACCTGTATAATTGATTTTGGAAGTTTTAAAATCAAAATAATTTTAATTAGCTTTATGCTTTTCTCATGTTGTGTATAACTATATATGTATATATATATATATATAAATAAATATGTATCTTATGGTTATGTACCTTTAATATATAACTATATAATATTTATTAAGTAGTGTTTTTGTGAATAAAAATTCAAAATATTGCTGGTTGTTTCGACATTTTAACTGCTGCAGTGTTCCTCAATAACGTTACAGCACTAGATATACGTAAAACGTATATTGACGTGTGTATTTACTGTTTTCAACTATCGTATTAAACAAATTACAAAATCGATTGATAGGTACTGATTTTTTTTTTTGTTCATAATCATAAATATGTCGTTTTCATACATTGCGTTTTGAATATTTTGCTAAAAACTTGTATCTACATATATTTAAAGTTTAAATTGTGAATACTAATTGAACAGAAGGAATAAAAAGATGAATATTCAACTTAATAAAAAACGTTGAAAAAATGTATTATTATTATTATTATTTATATTTATAAATATTTTATTTTTATATTAATTATGATAGTTGAATAATAAATTTTTAAATTCTTTGTTGCAATGTATATAAGTATTTCAAAAAAATTAATATTTTATTATTGCTATTTAATTAAAAATATATGTTTTTAACATACTTTACAGAATATGCGATTTTATAATTGTAGGCATTCTCAGCAAAGCAAAAAATATTTAATTTTTTTTTTTTTTAGTTGTAGGAAATGTTTACACAGAAAGTTTTAGTAGTTTTGTACTTTCCTATATTTTAATGATAAATTATTTTTGTGTTTAATTAAAAATTGTACGTATTTTTATATAGTTTAGTTAAATAATAAATACTATTAGCTAAACACTAAAAATAATAAAAATATAATAATGAGTTTTTTAACGTATAGGTGCAGTATTACAATGAATTATTTTTAGATATGATATTTGAAGCAGATTATTTACTATAGTCTTCAAACATTAAGGTAGTTTCTGTTGTTAAAATTGGTTTAGTTGATACTTAAGGGAAAATTCTTTCGTAAAAGCTGTAAAATTATAACACGGATTAAATGTTCAATTTTTATAGCTAAAGTTAAAAAAATTAATGCTAGATTCATTTTAAATAGTTCTTATGCTAAAATCTAATATTTAATAAATTTACTAATACAATTTTTAATCTATCGTATTACTATAACAATAAAATAAATTACTCTAATAGCAATATAACCATAATTTATGTTATAAAATATACTTGTAGTATTATAGATTGACGAGACTGTCTTCGCTCAGAATTGTTTTTGGTGTGAATCATATGTAATGATTTATCATTAAATTCAAATTGAACACATCCATCATAGTGACCCACTCAACTCTTACTGTAAAGCGGTACCCACTTTCTCACTTAAAAAAAAAATATTTCATATTATACTGAATCATTGTGTGATAAATAATAATAATAATTAATATATATTAATCACCCGACATAATTTGTAGTGATTTATACTCAATGACTAGATATTCTCGACTCCCACAATACAACAGATCAGTTACCTACTTCCCCCCCCCCTTTTAGATTCTGAGTGGAGTTATGAATATAATAATTTTACATTGATAATATTTTTGTCAATATTTATTTTAAAAAATTGAAAATATTTAAAGCATCGAATGTTTACTATATACAGCTCAATAAACGCCAAAGTATTTTAATTTTACCATTTATAGAATATGCTATATCGTATAAATATTTGGGAAACATTTCAAGTATCTATCTTCTGTTATTTATTTATGTATTACACAAAAAACAAAAACAAAATTGATTTTATCAAATCGGTTTTGTATAAAAATTTCCTTTTTTTTATTATTTTTTTTCCTGTTTATTTTTAAAGTGCTGAGGGTTTTCAATTATAAACCCTTCTAAGTCTAATTGTCCATCATAAAAATTATTTGAAGATAAATACATTTTTTACAGTAAAAAGTGTTTTTAAAACTAAAAAAAAATCGATTTTTTTATTTTGTTGTAATTTAGTAACGAATAACTATTAACCTTAAAAACTAAGCGTTTTCAGCAAATGTTTATAATAATTATTAGCGTTCTTTAAACATGAGATATTTTGACTTTTTTTTAATCATTTATTGACGTTTGATATTTTCGATTTTTTATTTTATGATTTTTTCCCTAGTCAGATAGGTACCTGTTTTCAATAAAAACTTTTTCGCTTAATATAAAGCTTGAATATGTATTTTAAGTTTCTTCATAAGTTGTTATTATAGCTTAAAAATATATAGGCACGAATTTTATTTATAAGTATTTAAAGTTCAAAGTTTAAAAAAATTATCAAGATCATACAAAAAGTTTCAACTTATTTTTGTGTTAAGTAATTATTAATTTTTTATTTTTTATTATTAAGAAGTATATCACTATATTCAATTAGTTATTATTAAAACCAAAACATTAAAAAAAAAATGTTATTTCAAATTTGGTCGAAATTAAATATTTAAACAAAGACTAACGATTTTAGTTATTTTAATATTATAACAATATGATTTAAAAACATTTTTCGTGAAGATATCACGAGCATTATTATATTTTCTATTTACAATAACATTTAAAAAACAATTGAATTAATGTTATGATATTGCCTATAAATAACAAAAACTTATTCGCGTCATTTTATATTAAGTCAGCGCTGAATATCGACTCAAAAGTTTGATTAAGTTTCTAGACGTGTACTTTGTAGCATAATGAATACCTACGTTTCCCTCTATTAACTTAAAATTTTAAAATGGATCTATTGTTTATTTGTATTAAGTATGAATTAAACTTGAATTTATACTTATTTGTAATTTTCAGCCAAGTGTGATGCTAAAAATATGGACTGAAGAATTTTTAAACGTAAGTTAAAATATTTGTCTTACAATAAATGTTATTTTTAATTTTAAATATAATATATAATATTTGATCTTTATTATTTTTATTAGTAGTTGTTAACTATTGACTGGTTAAATCATAAATTCATTATTGATTTAAATTCTAGACTGTGAGCAGATTGGATCCATATTTTATAGCTTTGCATTGTCAAGAAGTTGGCGGAAAAAATTACGAAGAAAGCATGAAACACGTCAATTTTTTTGTTAGGTAATCAAAAATTTGATAAATTATTTATTTATTTGTTTAAATTAAGTAAATAATAATTTAAAACTAAATACTAGCTACATTTATTTGTTAAATAATGATTATTTATTTATGTATTAAATAAAAAAATTAGTTAATTAGACTATGTTTTAGTTTAATTTTTACTTATTGTATTATAATAAGAAGCTCATTACCTAGGTTTATATTTCTCCTGCCCCAATGTTTCACGATTTACAATATCCTGATTTTATAAAAAATCAAGTTTTATGTCTTATAATAAAAAATATTTTCATTGAATATGTTTATCCTATGTTTTAAACTATAGTATTATACTCTAACTAGCAAAATCATTTGATGACTCCTAATTATTAAACATAATTTATGTAAATTTATTTCTGTTGGAAATTAGTTAATTAACATAAATTTTTTATAGTTTATAATTTTGTATAATAAAACTTAATTATGTTTATGTATAAGTTTTGAATCATGATTTTAGCATGAAATAACAATTTAACGTCTATCCTCTTTCATTTAGACAATACTTAATTGTATGTTAGCATAATAAATAGTGAACAAATTATTTTCTATTAGACATAGTTTTATAATTAGCATCACTCTATGTTTTTATACATGGTTCATCAATTACAATAAATTAATAATTATAAAAGTTATAATTATTGCACCAAAATATGATTGTTTAATATTTAGTTTTGTAATTAAAGTAATAAAATGATAATATGGCAGAAATTATCAATACTATTTTAAATGATCAATTATTAAAATGTATTCAAGACTAAATATTTGTTTATTATGTTTTTTTTGAAAAATATCAATTTGCATATGCTTTTACTATTTGTTGTCATTTTTGAAATTCAATAGATATTTAATAAATTACAATTACAAAATAATTAACCAAATTGAGAGTTTGAAGTATGGTGATATATAAATGTAGCCATATTGATACAGGAAGCATATCAAATAAACCTGTACCGATCGTACAGGAAGTATATTAAAAGATTTTTTATATTTTATTTTTATAATTTTATGTTGTTATTAGTAGTAAAATTGTTATGAACTTGATTGCAGTTTATTGATGACAAGTAAAGAATTGAGGATCTTCAACAGAGCTCAAGTATTTCTTGATGAAGAATTCACATCAGCAGAAAATTTTACAGTAACTAGCCAAATATAATTGTTACGGTATATTTTTATTTTCGGTTTTCGAATGAAACTCATTATTCAATATTTTGAATGTGTATAATTCAATTTATACTAAACTACTTAACTGTTTATATTTCATAATATTATTTAAGATTTTTTGAGTCTGAAATACATTATTACTACAGTACCTATATAATAATATTTTAAATTAAAGATTTATTTACAATTTTATTATATCATTATTATTTGTTATTTGTATAGTTCATTGTATACACATCTTTTTCAAAACTAAACATTTTTTTTTTTTTTATTGGATTTCTATAAATTTAATGGATTAGGGAAGATCTAATAAATTTAAAAAATATATTATAATTTATTTATTTAGGTTAATAAGTTTTATCTATACAAGATCAATAAGTCTAGATTTACATCATGAACATAAATTTCATCGAATTATTATTATTTATTCATTTCTATTATTCTAATTTAATTTTATGATTTATTATTTAATTTATTGTTTCAAATATTATTTTTTAAACATATTTACAGTAGCAGTTTTATATTTATTATTTAATTTGGCGTATTAAATTTTATTTCTCTATCTTATTAAACTTATTTTATTGTTATTAATTTATATCCTATTTTTATTAATTTTCAGGCTTTGGGAAACTTTTATTTTATTCACGAAGCCATAAAAGAAGCATGTATATGGGATTTTAATAGTAAGTATATTTTATTTGTTAAAATATCATATTGCTAATTATTTACTAAACATTATTTTTATTATAAAATATTGAATAACTTTAGAACAAGAATTTTTATCTGTAACTGAAAAAACCATATATTCTGGAAATATTGAACATGTTTCCACTAAAGAAAAGTCTAAATTTCCTCAAGATTTTTTTCCAGAGGTTAGTATTATGTTTCAAAATATAGTTAAAAAACTTTATTTAAATTTATTCTTGTTTTTTGTTTATTTTTAGTGTAAATGGTCACGTAAAGGGTTTTTGAGAACTAGATGGAAGCTTAATGGTTCTGTATTTGATCTCATAAATATTCATTTGTTTCATGATGCTTCAAATTTTACTGCAATGCAATCTGTGAGTTTATTTTTCTTTAAATCTATTAATTATATATACCAATTAGTTAAAAAATGTTGATCTATAAATATTAAACTGTGTTTATCAGTAATATTTTCCAATCTCCATTGACTAGCACAATATATAGTTGGCTTTTTATTTTTATGATAATGATCTCGTATTGATAAATATTTTGTTATCTATACAATTTGTAACAATATTTTAATTTTCAGCACTCTTCTGTTTATTCTATCATGAGACAAAAAGCACTTGAATACACTTTAGATCGGTAAGAAAATGTATTGTAAAATAAAAGTTAATAGTTTCTTTTTTTTATTTACAATATACAATCTATACCTTAAGTACTCAATTATTATATAATTAAAAGTAAAATACATTTACATTTTAATACTCATTATCATATTAATGAACTAATAACAATTAATTCATGATATTTTCCTAATAATTTTTGATATGAACAGTAATACTTTCAAAAATGGATTTATTTAAAATGATTTGTTATTTATTCATTTAATTTAATTTTTTAATTTTGTGACTTTGAGGGTGGTAATTGGAAAAAAATTAAATCTAGTTAGTATTTTGTCAAAGGTAAAAATTTCCAGTATTTTTAAAAATAAATAAAAAATGGGACTTTTACGCAAAACTTATATTATACAAAATCAATTTTTTTTTTAGTAAATAACGTATAACTGTAGGTATTTAAATTTTTCATCAAATACCTTTATTAGCATTTTCTATAAATGATAAATCATTCAAAATATTTTAATTATTTTCATTTTAATTTTATAAATTTCAATACCATATTTTTTGGTTGGTCCTAAAAGCTTAACAATTTGATACAAGTTTTCTTATTAATTATTCATTTTTCAATTTAAAAAAAAATAAAAACCATAAAATAACCTTGGTTATTAAACAACTAAATAGCCTTTATTTAGAATTATTTTTTAACATACACAAAAATTTTTATCAATCCAAATTTAACACATAGATTACAATAATTATTCAACTATTAGGTAAAATCAACTCCTATTGTATAGTTTTTTTTAGCAACAGATTAGTTATTAATTATATCATTTATTAATTAATGTGTTTTTTTGTATTGATATTAATTAATAAATGTTATGACTAGGTTTCGTAACTATGAATTTGGATTTGCTCCGTTTTTTTTATTTGGAGATTTTAATTTTCGCACAGATACTAAAGCTGTTATAATGGTAAAATTCTTCATTGAAAATAAGATAATTTGTTTATATATTATAAGTTTAATGTAATTGTATTACATTTTATTTACAGAAAATAGTTGAAGGGCTGGATATGGTAAAAGATGACGTTGACAAAGATAATTTAGTTTTTCATTATACAGACAATTCAAAAGAAGTAAGTGTTGACTTGATTATTGTATTACAAATTAATATGTACCTATGTGGAAATACTGAAATATAAAATAATATTAATAAAATGCATAACATTTTGACAAAAGTTTTGTTCTACTTGATTTTAGGTTATTTTTACTTTAAAAAAAAAAGAATTTCGTCATCTGGATCATCAAAATATATTTGTGTCGAAAAGTGGATCGTGGGTAATTTATTTTTTTCACAATTATTCAATTTAACTGCATGCATATATTGCATTGATATTAATCTAAAGTTAAAAATGATAATAGTTTATGTAGTATATCAGTGCATGATAGGTTTGAGATTAAAGAGAAAGTAACGCCAATACGCTCCCCCATCATGTTTATTTTTATTTAATGTTTTAAAAAAAAAATAATCCACACGAGCTCTTACATCTAACATAATTGTAGTAGTATCTATGTATTAAATATAGTGTATTTATAAATTGAAAATGTTTGATTAAATAAATTCACACTGTTTTTGACAAAGCAAAATAAATATAAAATCAATTTATACTGCGGTTTAAAAAGAAAAAAAACAGGGTAGGCTTTCAGCTATTAATTTCAAGACTAATTATGTATATTTTTAAATATGTTTTCCTTATTAAGCTTAAGTTAAATAATATTAGGTTAGAGACATACTTAGATGAAACTAAATACATTTTTTTATTTTAAATACCAAATGTATATTATTGCATATTTTCAGTTAAAAGAATTTGATCACGAATTAAAATCATTTGAAGAACAATTGTTTGAATTTCCTATACATTTTCAACCAAGTTATCCATTTGAAGAAAATGAACATGAAGGAACGAACTATATGCAAACCAGATGTCCAGCTTGGTGTGATAGAGTAGTTTTAAGTGCTGGTGCTAAACTTTTAATTGATAAAAAGGTAACTGTTATATTTAAATTTTATAGTTTATGATAATTAATAGAAAAATTAAAATTAGTATCAATATCATATGACTTATCTATTAGCTTATAAGTTATAAGCCATATCGGTAGCATTAATGCACTGAATATTTTTCAGACCTAAGCAAACTCTATTTGACTACTCTTGCATCTATAGCTTTTAATCAACATTTTTTTTTTTTTTACTTAATATAAATATTATTATCAAAAACTTTTTATTGTACTAAATACATTATTCAGTAACCACTCACTCATTTTGGTTTCGAAACTTGCGGCCATTGCCTTAAAAAAGTTTATTAAGACATGCCACTGTTAAATTATATTCACAAACATATTGAATATAGTTTTTTTTTTTTTTTTTTTTATAGTGCTTTTATTTTAAACATTACAGCACAACAATTACAAAAAAATATAGTTTGTTCAAAATAATAACTGTAGTTAGTGGTCAACTTAGCGCAGGGGAGAGTGAATCATTATACATGGTAGGTTTACAAATAATTAACTTTGTGTTAAACAGATATTATATGACCTGCTTGACAAAAACCAGTTTGCCGTCAACTACCATTCTTATTTTGAATAGACTCTAAAACAAATTACTAATTTTATGTAATAATCTTGAAGTTTATTTATTTATATCAACAAGCAATTTTAAATATAATATAATATAAATTATAATTAATATTATTATTTAATAAATATAATGTAATTTTATGTTTGTAAATATTGAACTTGGAAATGTTCAAATGTGTATTTAGAAACGTATCACTCCATAAATTTTAATATTGTGAAATAATATGTTGCTAGGGAATCAACTGTTGCTTAGTTTCTTGTATAGATCCTCATAGCGCACTAAAAAAAAATGTTTTTCTTCTGCATAAAACATTTTAATGTCAATATAATATACAAATTTATAACAATTATTTTTGATAAAGTACATGTGCATAATGTATCTTTGTAATAGAATTACAATAAATAATAAAAATTCTTTTCACATTTTTTTTCTTAGTTTTCATTTGATTTTCCAATGATTCCAATGATCATAAAAAAAAGAAAAAAGTCTAAAGCCGCATATGATCTACGTGATTGATATGCCTGATTTTTATGTTATGTTATACCATTAGGAAAATAACACTTTCAACTTTAAATTTATAAATATGTGATATTATTACAATGTATTTTTTTATAGTTATTATCGACCATTTTTGTTTCATGCTAAAGAAGTGCATCTTAAAAAAAATTTAATATTTTAATCTATTTTTTATATAGCAATGCCTAAACTTTATTTATCATGTGTTTATTAGTTTTATAGATTACCTTATCAGGATGAATTTGATGAAACTATTACAGTATAATATTAATTTCCTAACAGTTTTAGTTCATAGACTTATGATAATATTAAGTGTTGAATTGTGTCAAAACTCTAATAACGTAACTGATTCTGAAAATGTATTCTTACGACTTAAGTTATTGCATACAATTATCACGTCATTAATTTAATTTATTAAGTATAATTGTGCATTATATCTTTCATTTCCTATTATTTCAGGCATTAGAAGTAGATAATAATGGTGAAGTGGAGTATGATCTTATTGGAAAGAAAACATGTATGGGAGATCATAAGGTATTTAAAAAATTTAACTATTTTTTTACTCAATAAGAATTTTATAATTTTTGAACTGTTAGAATAAACAATTCTTAAATTTTAAATTCTTAGGTTCTACATTTTTACAAGTTAAATTATTCTTTATTGGTATTTAAGTAATCTAACAAAAACTACACACTAATAAGTAATATTGTTTATTCAAATTTTAAAGTATATTTTATTAATTATTAATTTGAAAAAAAGCATGTTATATAAAATATTTATTAATATATATTATTTAAAAAAGTTGTTAACAAAAAATTATTACTATTAAAATAAGTCAATTATAAAGAAAAATATATTATCATTAAGAAAAAGCTGTTTAATAAAATATTTATTGTTATATTAATTACTCACAATAGGAGGTGGCTTTCATGTTGTTTAAAAACTCATCGAACATAATATTTTTTTGATTAATATGTAAATTTCTATCATTCCTCTTGCAACCTTCTTTCAAGCCATTTAGTACCATTAACTCAAACTGAATAGATTTGTTTTATAATGCGTCACAAGAACTGTTTTTTTGACTTATGTATCAATAGTCAACGTAGAACTATTAAAATTAAAGTTAATTTTGTCTTATACTTTAAATTGTATTTAATATCTAATCATATTTATCAATTTGTGGATTTAGATTAAGTAAATCACAGGCTATGGTAGACCTTTTACAATATTAGTGTACCTTATGGATAGATCACAGAAATTAAGGTAGATTGCTTATGACCCGATTACCTAAAATTCATAAAATATATCAATTATTCATATTTGATTAATGTTTATTCCTATTTCACTCTAATAATTGGTAAAATTTATGAATATATTATACTATTCATTTATTAAGAAAAATTTTTTAGGTCATATAACAGCATGTGAAATATTTCAATTAAAAAATAATAACTGACATATAAACACAGATAATGTTCTTTCTTTTAAGTTAAATTATATGTTAATTCACTAATATTAAAGCTAATAACACAAAATTGATTCTTCTCTTTGTAAATTTACTATGTTATGTGTTTATAAGATATAACACATTGTGTATGAAATTCTAACATTTTTATCATAAATATATTCAATTTTAATTGAGCAATCTATTTAATTCAATTGAAAACATTTAATTATAACTCAATTAATATTAATTTCACTTAATTATTATTAATAATATTGTAATTGTTTATATCTCAATTTACTGGTATTTTACATGTTATTTTTAGATTCTGAGCAGAGTATATATTGATCTAACAATTATGTGTTTTATTTTTTATTTTTGTGTGTATAAACACATGATAAGTAGTTAATACAACATTTCAACTTTTGACTTTGAGGATGGTTTTAGAAAAAATAATTGGATAAACTTTAAATTTTAGAGATGTCAAAATTAAAAATTCCATGAATTTTTTTCATAGCCAAAAAAAAATATAAAGTTGAATAAAAGGTTCTTTATAATTTTTCAACTTGTATGTGAAAAAAAATTTACTGGAAAGCCAAATTAATGTATTATGAAAATTTATAATTTAAATTTCTACAATATTTGATATTTAGTTGTAAAATATTCATTTTTCACAAACAATTTTTGATATGTTATTGTGTTTCAAATAAGAAATAAATGACAATAGATACCTACTTGAAATGTTCACCAAATGTTTTTATTATTATTTTTATAATGTTAAAAATTTTCAGTTTTTCAAATCTCTTTTTTTTATAAATGTCGATAAAAAATTATTTGCGAGTTAAATTTTTTGAAAATTGAATACGAGATCTTACTAAAGTTGTTCTTATATCTGTAAAAAATATTAAAAATACATAAATAAGATTTTTTTTTTTGTACATTTTAAAAGTTTTTACAAAATTTATCAAAATAATAATAAGTGTAACTATTTTGAAGTTGGAAATTCATAAAAACTGAATTTGAAAACATTTTTTGTAGCAACTTAAACCTTTTTTTATATGTTATATTATTATAAATTTTACTAATGCAATGATATTTTTGATTTACTTAAAGATAACATTTATTTATATTATGAATCTATTTTTTGCTGTTTTACTGTATTTACAGAAAATTAAAATTAAATTTTGAGCTATATTAATTTTTATAATATGGTATAAATGTATATTATTATAATAACTAAATACTACATTTATACATTATCTAAGAAAAAACTACATTTTTATTTTATTAATAATTACAACAATTAAACCTGCTATAATTCTAAAAGTTAAATAGATGGCTGTAAAAGCTAAGTCAATAAAAAACTAATTATGAAATACACTTAGTAATATAGGCTGAGAGATTGTATCTGTTCAAAATTATTTTATTGTATTAAATGATGTTTCATTAAATTCAAATTTAATTTACCCGTAAGCCGTAATAGTGACCTACTTGATACGGAGTGTAAAACAGAGTAGTATATTTTTTCCTACCCATTTTTTTATATGTTTCAATAATATAATATACTTTTAAAAATGACAAATTGTTGTGTTTTTCCAGCCTGTTTACTTGAAATGTGACATTATGAACAATGCAGGTATAGTGGACAGAGTGGATTGTGCTTGTAAGCTTAACCGTGTGCCTCCTGAAACCCAAAATCCACTGCATGCTTTATTGGGTGATCATTTATGTGTAGATTCAGACGAGTGTTGTATTCCAGTAGTAGATACAATTGTACCACATAATACTGTATTAGGTGAAGTTAAAATCCCTCCAGTGCCATCTACATCCACAGATGATTATGAATTTGACGCTGTATCTTTAAAACAAAATTATACAGAAAGTCATTGTAAAACAAATAAGCCATTTACTTGCAGATTTTTGCGTAAAAAAATATCTGACAAACATGGGACACATAAAAATATATTTCCTGTATCTGATTGCATTTGCAAAACACACAAATGGAAATTTCCGATGATCATGCAAAAAGCTTGGAAGCATAATAGACGTATCAGGCTCAAGTCAATCCCTAGTTTCAATAACATGCCCTTACAAAGGTATCAAAGTCACCATAGTTCATCGGATGAAGATTGGTTTGAGGAAATTGCCGATGATGAAACTAATAATTGTGATGACAAGAAAAATAAATGCATTTCTAATTCAAACATAACTCTTACTAATGACGATAATTGTTCTGTTTATTTTGATAATGAATCTGAACAAGTAGAAACAGACAAATTTAAATGGTGTTCTTCTTTTGCATTTAGAAAATTTTGTGACAAACGACCATTAGCAGAAAAAAAGATAACTCGTAGAGATCCTACAACTTCTTGTCAAATTATATAATCAAATTATCTGGCCATAATTAACCTAAATTATTTATAACATAATTGAAGATAACGGATAGAATTACAATACCTAATTATTATTTTAAATACATGTAAATAAAAAAAAATATTATATATTTTAATTTTAGTATGACTTGTGAAAAACATAGCAGGACTGTGTTGTTCATTAAAATTATATCTACAATAGAGATAAATAAAAAATAGTGAAAAAGTAGTCTTTTATAATTAATAAAATATAATTTAATTAGATACAAATTAAAAAACAATATGTTATTAAATAAAACAAATTAAAACAAAAAAAATCAATTTGAAGTCATAATGCTTATATGTGTCTAAATAGTAAAAATGAAAAAAAAGAATGTAGTATATCATCCTACTGAATTTGTGTCTAATAAAACCATTAATTACAAATTTAACTTTTACATCTACTAATATGTGACTATTTAACTTGTCACCACACGCGTGGGGTATATTCAGTCATTTTAAAATGTATAAAACTGATATCTGAAATTAAAAATATTAAAATTTAAACTAGCTGTCTTAAAATAGGTATACTATAATTGGTTTTCCAAAATCTTTAAAATAATTGTATTGTAGTCAAATATTTGGTTATATATTACATAAAAAGACATTATTTGATTATTAAATACGAAAAACATAAAAATATATGAGGTAAAAAAAAATATCTCATGTGCGTGGATTTTATAAAGAAACCTACTTACGCCTTGACAGATTAATTATCTTTAAATTTGATAATCTGACAATTAAATGAGCTTCAATATTAATTAATTAGCATTATTAATTTTGCTGAATATATATTTAGTGTATTTCCCACAATAGGTCGAATTCAAAATAATACTGTTTTATACACACTTTAAATTCTTCATTTTGCTATTAACTATACTGGGTTTATCTTAAGTATAAAAACTTTATATTATTTAGATGATATCTTAATCAAAAATGCATAAATAACATTTGTTATATCTTAACATAATGTGATACATAATTTCAATTCAACGTGTTCCTATTAAAAACAATTATAATTTAATTGAATATGTGTATGTGTGTATGCTTATATTTTGTATACTGAGCTTTTTAGCTTGTAGAAATTTAGTCACTAACTTAAAATATAATATGATCACTTTTTTGTATCGGCTAGTACAGTTTGTGTTTATAATTGAGTTGCACTGGTTAAAGACAAGTAGTTAAGATGTTATCAAAGTATAATATTTCAATTAATTGTAGTAAATATCAAAATAGTTTGCAAAATTAGTTAAGTATTATTACTATAACTATATATATATGTATTTATGTGATGTTCAAAAATGTCTTAGAAGTTTAGAACTAATTTAACCATTACAAATATTTATTTTTTTTAATCAATAATTTAAATTTGCATTATTTGTTTTTACAATTATTAACTGACGTGTATAAAAAGGAATAAAGAATTTTACTCTAAAAAATTTCATGGATTTTAAAAGTTACATGCTATATTTTATCTGAGTATTTGGAAAATCAATTACATTTTTTATAAATAGAAGCAATGGTGATTAAAATTGTTAACAAATATTATTTTAACTAATAAACTTTAAGTTTTTTAAAAGTTTGTTTAAAAAAATGAAATTTCATATAAATAGTTAATCATATTTTGATAAATATTAATTTTTTATAAATTGGCTATTACACAAATATTTTAGAAAAAACCTAACTGGATATTTAAAAAAATATTTTTTTATTTTTTTATTATTATAATTCAAAAAATAAGTACTAAGAACTAAGATTCTACATAATGTTAAAAGGTATTAAAGTCCAAGGAATAGTTTGATGTTGACTTCTATGTAATTGAATATATAATTATAAAAAGCATGTTCTTCAAAATTTGTAACTTAAATTTTTAACAATAAAACATTATAAAATTTCTTAGTTCATAATAATTCAAGGAAAAAATGAATTTAATTGAAAATTGAAAGCTAGTATTTATGCAGATAATTTAAAACTTGGATAGATATTTGATAAAACACATAAATATTTTAAGTATAATTAATTGTATTTCTCAGTTTTTATGACTGGTTTCAAACATAAGATATATGTGCAACTGGTAAAAATAAATAAAACATTGTTCTTCTCTTTTTAAATTGATACTTATTTTACCAGCTTCTTTATATTGGTTATAATTTGTGTTCTTTTTTATAATTTTGGTAAATTATTTGTTGGTACTTTATAAGCATTTTTCATTATTTCTTTTGTGCACACATTTTGTATTAAACTGTTATTTATTTGTTTGTATTGCACTTTGATTTTTTTATAATTGATTTTATGTTTTTAAATCTTAGAAAATATTGATTTATCAAAATCACTTATTAAATAGTGGCTGCACTGAGCACAAATTAACTCTTTCTTTTTCGGTTTGTTAAACATTTTGATTTTTATGATTTTAAAAGGTTTTACAGAAGTAAATGTTTGGGAAAGGACATTGTTTGACTCTAAACTTCCTGAAGACAAGAACTTCGTTCACTTAAAGGAGACTACTGTTTAATTCAAGAAATAGGTAAACATTAATTTATAGACGCTATCAGATTTATGATAATAATATTTATTATTTAAAATATTTTATCCTTCCAACTTCCAAATATGCCTGGTAAAATGTATCCATGAACAGTTTATTTATAATTTAAATTCATAAATTAATAATTTATCTAAAGCCTATCATTTTGTAAAATTCAGTTAAAATTGTATTAAATTAAATTTCTATAGTTGCAACATTTTTCAGGCTTATGTTCATACTATTCAATCCAATTATAATTATTTATAAAAATAATAAATAATACAATTTTATATACAAAAGTGTAATGAAAAGGTTTAATTAGTATTATCAATTATTTAAAAAACTTCTACTACCAATTAAAATTGAATTAGTTAATGTATTATTTTGCTGTTTATTTTATTTCTAAAACACTTAAATTTATTGCTTTTTTTATTAGTAGTAGTAATTACTTATCTGAAACATAATAGGTAAACATCATTTTGCACAAATTTTAAAAATTTTAGGTTCATTTAAGTTCAATTTGTCCTCAATTTTATTGTTTGATAAGCTATTATTTGATAATTCGGTGAATTAATTAATATAATGAAATTTAATAGGTAATTAATGAATTTAAATGACAACATTTGCTATGTATTTATGTTTATGATGAATATGATTGGTAATAATTGATATAGTTAATAATTTTTAAAGTATATAAGGTTCATAAAACATTTACACTTTACACATTCTGGTTTTTAAATTTAAACTTCTTCTATTTTTTTTAAATATTGAGTTATTGTTATTTGTCATAATTGTTAATAAGTGTTATTTATTTTCATTACATTTTGGTTTATTAGTGCCTTATTTTAAAACTGTATGATCTGATTTATTTAAATAGGGTTTTTTTAAATTTATTTTCTGTATTATTTTTGGATCTGATTGCTTCAAATGATTCAATAATTAATTTTGCTATACTGGTTATATTCTTATTAAAAAATCTTTTAATTGCAATCGAGATAATTGTGTTCAGCGTAATACATTTTTAATTATAATATTATTTAGTATTACTCATTATTTTCTTAGTTACCAATTAATATTTTTCATACTACTTGGTGTACTAAAAATGCTTTTAATTTAATTTGTGTCATATATGTCAAATCTTAAAATTAAAATTTACAATAAAGTTTATAAATTATTTAAAATTATTACTCATAAAATAAAAAGAAACTAGACTTAGAATAACCATAATATTATAATATATAACATATACATTTTAAAATTTTGTATTCTAAATTAAATTTTTAAAGATCTAATAATGTATAAGTCATTAACATCTATTATTATAGTTTGGTAAATAATTTTCTTTTATATTTTTGTTTTCTTATACAAGAAATTATATTTTTTTATATTTCTTTAGGTATAGCATGCGTACATACATCAGTCAGTTATAAAATAAATGAACCATAAAGTGCATATCATACTTTAAATTTTTTAAATAGTTATTTTTTTAACATATTGTTATCTATTAATTTGTACTTAGGTAACTGTATTAAATCAGTGGATAAAAAAAAAAAAAAATTAAAAATACATATAAAACACAATTATCTTAAAATTAAAATACATTTATTTGATTATTATTTCATGCAATATTTATGCTTGTCACTGCTAAATTCTACGAGAAGACAAAAAAATTATCATGTTTTTTCTTTTTTTTATGTACCTATTCTTTATATTTCATTATTTTATATTAATTTAAAACTCTCCACTTCCAAATAAACCCATAGCTGCACCATTAGGTATAATGCGGTCACACATACAGTATTATGTAATTGTAACAAATTAATTATTTTGGTTTTTATTACTTATGTAGAAGTTTAACACTTTCTAATAGTAATTTTGAAATTGAAATCACATATTATAAAAAAGAAGTGACTTTATAATCCAAAAAATTCGTATAATTTTTATCACTCTTTGTTTATAGTAGAGGCATTAAGATTTTGAAAGAAGTAGGGTAAAACTACGCAACAGCGTGCTTATTTTTTAAAGAACTTAAATATAATAATAGGTATTTGTTATCATTATTATTATTATTTTGATTTTTCATTTATTTATAACAAATAATTCGATAGTGCTTTTAAAAAATAAAACCCACTGTTTCACAAATAAAATTGTTTATTTGTTGTAAAAATTTTATAATTTTACTACAAACATTGTGCAAATAAAGTGTTGTTTTGCGCAAAATAGTTTTAATAACTAAATTTTGGGTGGTGCTGGCGTTAGTTTTAAATTCAATGTCCGAACTAAATCAGTTTTGAATAGGTGGGGTATAGTAAAATATTTTTTTTTTTCTTCTAAACAAAATGTGACGTGTTCACTGTATTTATTTGATTATCAGGTATAATTTCGTAAATGAAATACAAAACCTTAAACATGAAAATCTTAACTGTTTACAAATCAATGTATCTATTATAATGAATAGTGTATATGTCATAATAATATATCTATACTACAAATTACAATATATGATACCTATATAATATATATATAGCGTCATTACTCGTTATACTGATTAAAAAATTATATAGGTTATAGGTACCTAATATTTACTTATTTAACTTAATAAAT